GCAACAATGTGCAATGTCAATCAGCAGTGGCTAAGGCCAGTAAGGTATTGTCATGCATGAAAAAGGGCATTCAGTCTCGGGATGAGAATATCATTTTGCCTCTTTATAAATCACTGGTAAGTCCACATATTACATAGTTACATAGTTACATAGCTGAAAAGAGACTTGCGTCCATCAAGTTCAGCCTTCCTCACATTTGTTTTTTGCTGTTGATCCAAAAGAAGGCAAAAAAACCCAGTTTGAAGCACAATTTTGCAACAAGCTAGGAAAAAAATTCCTTCTTGACCCCAGAATGGCAGTCAGATTTATCCTTGGATCAAGCAGTTATTACCCTACATTGAAAGATTATATCCTTGAATATTCTGTTCTTGCAAGTATGCATCTAGTAGCCGTTGAATATGCTGTGCAATTTTGGGCACCTGTTCTAAAGCAGGATATTATGGCACTAGAAAAAGTGCAGAGGCGGGCTACAAAATTAATAAAAGGAATGGAACAAATCAGCTATGAAGAAAGGTTAACAAATTTAAACCTCTTTCGTGTAGAAAAACGTCGCCTGAGAGGGGATATGATAACATTATACAAATATATTCGGGGCCAATACAAACCATTGTGTGGAAATCTATTCACAAACCGGACTTTACATAGGACACAAGGCCATGCGTTTAGACTCGAAAGAAGATTTCGTCTAAGGCAAAGGAAAGGTTTTTTTACTGTACGAACAATAATGATGTGGAATTCTCTGCCTGAAGAAGTGGTTTTATCAGAGTCCATACAGATGTTCAAACATCTACTAGATGCATACTTGCAAGAACAGAATATTCAAGTATTTCATTTTCAATGTAGGGTAATAGCTGCTCGATCCAAGGATAAATCTGACTGCCATTTCCTAGTTTGTTGCAAAATTGGAAGTGCTTCAAACTGGGTTTTTTGCCTTCTTTTGGATCAACAGCAAAAAACAAATGTGACAAAGGCTGAACTTGATTGACGCAAATCTCTTTTCAGCTATGTAACTATGTAACCCTCACACCACACTCACAGCACCCTCACACCCACACACACACAAAGCCCCCTTTACACTCACACACACAGCACCCCTCTTACACACACACTGCACCTCTCTTACACACACACACACGCTGCACCCTTCACACATACACACAGCACATCCAACACACTGAGCCCCTCACACATACAATACTTCCAAACATATATATATTTACACACTATAGCACCCCTCACAAACACACACTGCACCACATTACATTCCAGATACACACTAGATCCCTTATCCAACTCTGGATCATCTAATCCACACACATACACACACTAGATCCCTATATACACTCTGAATCCTCTATATACACACACACACACACTAGATCTCCTGTACACACTCTGGGCCCTTCACACAATAGATCCCCTACACACACACACACACACTACACCACCTACATACACTACATTCCTGACATACAAACTCTGGATCCCCCTATGCACACACTACATTCCTTGTAAGCAAACAAATACAACATTCTCTAAACACACACTCTCTACAATCCCTACACACACTACGTCACCTATATACACACACACATTAGAGCCCGTATGCACACACTCGCTGCATCCTCTATATACACTATGCCCCCTATACACACATTCTCTACAGCCCCTAGACACACATATTACACCACAAACACAAATGAAATTAACTTATTTACACAATACCACACCACAATCAGCTCACTCTACACACACGCAATCCCACAAGCAGGCTCCAAACACATGCACCATACACTTTCCAGGCCATTTTGTCCTCTGGTATACCACTTATGTAGACACCAGAGACAAGTTAAAAGCAAACACAGTGCAAGCATGTTATTAAATTTGCTTGCGCTGCGCAGAACAAATACACAGCCTTTTTCTAATGCCAGAGCTCTTCAGCAGAGCTCTGCGAATGGTCTGCCCTGGCCTGCACTTTGAGAGGGGGCGTGCTTGTCATTAGGAGGCCGCTGTGATTGAAAAATGCCCAGGCCGAATTCTTTTTCCCAGTCCGGCCCTGTGTGTACAAAATACAGCCCCCCGCTTCTCGTAACAGTCCCGATTTAATACCTCCCGTTGTTGGGAGCTGTGAAGATTTTCTGTGTTCTATAAAATAACCATGTATTTAACCTGTAAAATCTTTGCATGTCTGTCAATAATTATCCCATGTGCATCCAATTTTTGATTTGTGTTCTCTTCATATCTGAGATTTTGGTGATAACTTGCGAAGCACTCCGAACGCTTATTGCCACTGTATTCAGTAATCCCTCGGAAAGAGAAAAAGACGGAAAGAAAACCAATTCAATCCTTTGCTCTTGGTGTTTTTTGGTTTTTTTTATGACTGAGAGACTTTGAGAAAATCTTGTGGTTAATGGCTTGAGCAAGTACGGTTTTCATCATCTTTTTGTCATATTCTCTTGAATAAATATCCCTTGAAGTGGCAGGAAATAAATACAAATCTTAATTAATCAGATCCGTGGTGCATTAAATACTAATACATTACATTCCATAAAAGAACATTATACAGAAGACATTTTTTAATCTGTCTTTAGCTTTTGATGTTTTTTAATTGTTTTATTTAGTGCTGTTTATGCCGTATACATAGAGACATGAAGTAGAACTGAATAAAGAGACTGCATGTTCACATAAGTTTCATTTAACTTGACAGAGGTAAATTAGAGGTAAATCTGAGCTCGGTTACTGGTTTATAGACTAACCGCTAATACAGCCCATCAGAACTAATATTTTAAGAAATAATCCCTGATAAAACCAGAAACGCTACACAGCATAACCAAGGTGAGAGAGTTAGTTCATAATTTTATGGACAAAGCCATAATGTGTATACACACTCTTAGGTCCCATTTAAATCAAAGGAGCTGTACATTCCAATGCTTGCCCTGTGCTGTGGGCTTAAAGGAACACTCCGGGCACCATAACAACTTAAATGCAATAAGCGCTGATAGGCTGAGAGTTTATCGGACACTTATCAGTAGCTCCCTATTCACAAAACGGAGTGCGAAAGATACTGTATGGTGCCCAGTCTGACTGAAGACTCAGATTCAGAGGGGCAGACCTAACCTGGTTCGGACTGAAGACTTTGGGGTTAAACTGTTCATTAACGGTTCATTGACGGTTAAACCCCTGGAAGGTAAGCTAGCACCCAAGACCTCCTCGCACCATTAAAACTTAATTTTGCCACTGTGCGTTCTCTCGTAGAATGTCAGAGTGCAGATCTAAAATGTATGTGACGTAGTACGGTTCACAGTTTGCATTAGAGCCGAGTGTGTGGAATCTCTTAGGAAAAACAATGACAACGATGCCTCTGGATAAAGGTTCCTTGGGAACTCTGAAGACACAGTCCACCATCACCACCTTTAGCGGGAGTAGTTGTCAGAAATTCACTGGATCCAGGCCATTATGAGAGCCTCCTTCTCTCTTTCATAGCTGCCAGTCAGTCTTATGTCTCTGAGCGTGTCGCAGTTGTTGTGCTGCTGATTCCAAGTAAGAGACAGGAATGCAAGTCCCTGGTCCATCATCCGCCATCACCATTATTCTGCCTTTTAAAGCAGGTAGTCCCTCCATCACAATACCATCTGCTTGGAGTCAATTTTAGATTTTTTTTATAGGAGAGATTTGATATCACCCTTAGTGGCAGAGGAGTCTTCACCCTCCTCCAAATATGATTTAAACCTCTTTGTTTTGGAATTTTATCAAAGGTTTTTACAGTGTCCGAATTGGAAGATGGAGAGATGATCGTTTCAGTCGAGTCTGACTCTCAGACCACGAAAACAAATTGCTAATATCTGGGATCTGTTGGAGCAGTGAGCTCCTGACATTTTGGTATTCTTCACCATCTTATGATGTGTGAGTGGATACGGTAATTAAGTTTGTTTTATATATATATATATATATATATATATATATGATTTGCTAAAATCTGTTCTAAACTCCAATGTAGTGTAACCAGTCAGTTTGACAGTGATGTCCGCCATCGCCTCTGCCTTATGTTTTACATTATGAAAATACTTTTTTGTTTTAGATCCATAATAAACTGAGTGAACCTTGAAAGATCCAGACTCCTCCCACACTAGTTAAAAAAAGCTAATTAGGATCATTTCATTCTGGTCTATTGGGATTGATCTTACCCTACAAACTTCTGTCCAGCTGATTTTTTAGGATACATAGTTTATACTCTGCCTGCAGTTACATTCACCAGATAGGATCACTGGAACCGCATTACAAACCTTCTAGTCGTGCCATCGGTTTACAGACAGCTCTATTCGATGTATAATGCCCAGGGCTGTATTTTGCTATAAGCAGAGACGTGGACTGAACATGCGCAGTCTGTGCTTAGCTATCACCAGGGTGGACCGAGACAACTTTCCTTAATTTATTAGTGGCATGCACAAACTGTCAGCACAAGAATGCATCTCATTGTACAGCGCTACGGAACAAGATTTTAAAAGAGCACCAAGTATTGCACTAATAACCATGCAGTTTGCAGTAATAAAAAAAAAATAATAACAGAAAATAATTAGCCCTTTTAAAGTTGCTAAATTTGCGCTTGCACATGCGCAAGAATGAACTGCATCTGGCAGACCCTCCCAGAGCAGGAAGAGGCTCCACCAATCAGAAGCCTCTAATTGTGGTCCATCCAAGGGTTTTTCTCACCCCATAAAGATTATAGTGACCAGCACATCGTGCAGTGATTTCCTACCTTGCTGACCATATGTGTGTGCAGCTCGGCTCTCTGCACAACAGGAAAGAGTAGGAAATGTGTGCTTAAGAAATTCACTGACAAATGGACAGTCAGAGATTTATAAATGTAGTGCCACAAAATATGCAAAAC